AAACCATGACAAGTGCTCTTTAACCTTCTTGGTTAGATTTCTTAGTTATTTCTTTTGTCATTTTTTAAAAAAAGTTATTGTGAATAGGATTGTTTTTCTTGACTTCTCTCTGGGCAAGTTTGTCATTGGTATTTAGAAAAGGTACTGATTTTTGCATATTGATTTTGTATCCTGTTAGTTTGCTGGAAGTGTTTACTAGGTCTCAGAGTTTTTAGGGTTTTTAACGTATAGGATCATGTCATTTACAAATAGAGATGCTTGGACTAATTTCTTTACCGTTTCCTCTCTCTCCTGCCTTCCCTTCTTTCCTCTTTCTCTTCCTTCCTCCCTCCTCCCTCTTTCTCATACTAGAGCTTGCACCTAGGGCATTGTAGAATGCAGGCAAGCACTCTTATCACTGAGCTTCAGCCCCAGCTGCCCTTTTGGTTTTTCTTATTGCTGTGGTTAAGACTTTGAGTGTTATAGTGAATATAAATGGTTTGATGACTAATCTTGGCTGTCCGCCAACCAGTGGGCATGTCTTTGGGATATTTTCTTATTTGCTAATTGATGTAAGAGGGCCCAGTGTTCCTCTCTGGTCCATGCTTCAGTTCCTGCTTCCAGGTTCCTGCCCTGAGCTCCTCCTTGACTTGCCTCAAAGGTAGACTGCCACTTGAAAATGTATGCTGCAATAAACCCCTTCCTCTCCATGTTGTTTTTGGCCAGAGTGTTTTATAGCAGTAGAAAGATAATTAGAACAGAGGCGTTGAACTTGGTCAGAAGTCTTTTCTATGTCTGTTGAATGGGTCATATGATTTTTATTCTTAAGCCTATTTATGCATTTTATTACATTTATTGGATTTGTTTATGTTAAACCAACCTTGCATCCCTGGAATGAAACCAATTTGGTCATGGTGTATGTTCTAATCTGTTCCTCAGTGTCATTAGCAAGAATTTTTCCATCCATGTTTATCAGGAAGATTGGTCTGTAGATTGTGTGTGTGTGTGTGTGTGTGTGTGTGTGTGTGTGTGTGTATTTCCTTACCTGGTTTTGGTATAAGGGTAATACTGGCTTCATAGAACTTTCTATTTTGTGTAACAGTTTGAGGTTTAGTGGAATTTAGAAGTGACTGTCTAGCTCTGGGTTTTTGTTGTGATTCTTTTTTTTTAATTACTTTAAACATGTTGATTTAATCCATGTTATGAATCTGTTTGTATCTTCTTGACTTAATTTTGGTATATCTTATGGGTCTAAGAATATATCCAGTTCTATCTAGATTTTTCATTTTGGGGGGGGTCTAAGTTTTCAAAGTATTTCTTAGTAATACTCTGAATTTCATTGGAATTTATAGCATCTTGTTTTTCATCACTAATTTTACTAATTTGCATTTTCTCTTCCTTTGGTTTAGTTTGGCTAGAAATCGTCAACTTTTTGTTTGATTCTATGCTTTGTTCTTTTATTAAATTCTGCCTTGGTTGTTACTCTTTCTTGACACCTATTTATTGCTTTTGACTTCGGCTTGTTTTTCTACGACCTTGAGGTGCATCATTAGATTATTTGAGATCTTTTTAATTTTTTTATTATAAGTATCATCACTGTAAACTTTCTACTTAGAACTGACTTAGCTCCATCCAAAAGGTTCTGGCAAACTATGTGCTCATTTTCATTTGATTCTGGAAGTTTAAAAATTTCTACCTTTATTTCTTCAATGCCTAATTTGTCACTCGATTTTTAATGCATTTGTGCAGTTTCCTTTTTATATTTTATTATTTTTATCTTTTGTATATGAGTGTATTGCCTGCATGTACGCAAGCACACCCATGTTACACAATGCTGGCAGAGGTAAGAAGCGGGCGTTGGATTCCCCTGGAACTGGAGTTACAGACGGTTATTAGCCACCATGTGGGTGCTGGGAATCAAATCTGGGTCCTCTGCAAGAACAGGCCAGGCTCTTAACCACTGAGCCGTCTCTCTAGGTCTTGTGCATTTTCTGTAGTTTTTCTACTAATTTACTGTGATCTGATAAGATTTATTAGATTATTTCGATTATTTTTTATTTGCTAAGACTTGATTTGTAGCTTAGAATGTAGTCTGTTTTAGAGAAGGTTCCATGGGTTGCTGAGAAGAATGAGTATTCTCTGAACTGTATTTAAACTCTGAACTTTCATTGTTTTAGTTTAGAAGGCCAGTCTATATAAGTAGAGTATTAAAGTCACCCACTATTATTGTATCAGAACCTCTTGGATCTTTTTTGCTTACTAGTGTTCGTTTTATGGAATTGGCATCTTTGTATTTACTTATGATTGTTTTATCTTCTTGATAAATTTTCTCCATCATATGGTGACCTTTATCTCTTCTTGACTAATTTTGATTGGAAGTCTATTTCTTCTGGTATCAGAGTACCTTCGTGGCAGCTTGTTTTCAACTGCTGTTTAGGTTCTGTGTTTTTACCAGTGAAGTGTATTGCTGGGAGATGACAGATTGATTGTTGGGTCTCATTTTTTTAATTCAAACAGTGTGTATCTCTTTATTAATGAGCCCTATCTATTTACATTTAAGATTATTATAGAGAGTTCCTCACTAATTAAGCTTATTGGTTGTTTTTGTGGTTGGTTGGATTATTGTTTATTCTTTTTTTCCTCTTACCATTGAAGTCTTAATGGCTAGATGTGCTAGGCATGACTTCTTTCCTCTGTTCATCTATTCCTTTCATGAATTCATTCTTTCTTGTGCCATCACGATTGAGATTGCCTTTCTTCTTCATATTCTCCCTAGTAGGTGTCTTCTGAAGTGCTGATTTGGTGGTCATGAATTGCCTTAATTTGTGCTTGTCTTTAATATACCTTTATTTCATTACCAATTTAAAAAGAGCTTTTTGGATGTAGTAATCTTGGCTGCCTTTCAGGGTTGCTGATGAGAGCCTTTGTGGATTAATTGGCATTTTTCCTTTAGTACTTTTAAAACT